ATTGTTGTTGTAGGAAGATCACTTCCCTAGCAGTACGAAGGATGGACTGGAAGAGAAAAGATTGAAGGCAGAGACCAATGTAGTCATTATTACTGTAGCTGAAGTGGAAAATGATGAAGGTATGTACTTGCAGTTGCAGGCAAGACAGTCTTTTTATGTGTCTCTGGCTTAGCACTTGTTAAACTCTACTATAACTGTCTGTTTTCTGCACTGAACTGTACTATGTGTTAAGCACAGTTGATGAGAGCTGAGGAAATAGGGGTAGATAATTTTAAAATGTCAATAAAACTAACTAAAAATTAATCTGCTTTTTATTATCACTATGCACTGGCAATTCAAAATTATGTGAATGTTAAAATACTTCTCCCCTCAAAAATGTTACTTTTTAGTCCAACTTCTAATTGACTTATTTCTTTTTGTCAGTTTTAATTGATCTGTTTCCATTTCATCTTCTTAAAGGCATTTTAAAGAGAATTTAATTTGCCTCTACCTTAGCAACTTGCTGCTGCAACTGAAGACTGGAGAAAAAGACTGGGTGAGTATAAAAAGAATTTACTCATAAGAATACGATCATGAATATGAAAATTATGATTAAAACAGTCAGCATTACTATATTCTTCAACATAAGAATGGCATATTCATTAAAACTTTGAAATGTATTCAATAATATTTTTGTAATTTTTTTTCTAAAATAGCTTTATCTACTAGTTATCTTACACATTTAAACTTAAACACTTGTCTCTTTCCTTGCACAGTCCCCTTTCAACATCCTTATACCTACAAATCCAAATCACCTTTCCTTCAAGTCCCATGTCACATACCATTTCTACCATAAAGCTGGCTTTTCCTCTAAATCCATGTAGCAATAGTTGTGCTTTTACAAAACCCTCCCCTACTGTCTACCCTGTATCATAGTTATTGTGTACACATCTTACAGCTGAAATTAAACCCATAAGCTCTTAGATGCCTTTATTATGGCTGTATCTTTGATATATCTGATAAAGTACTTAGCCCATGGGCATATTCTAGAAATAGGCATAGATTACTTTGGTTTCATTTGTATAGAAAATATACCTGATTTTCAAGATTCTTTCAACTCTGAGGTTTTATGATCTTTTTAATCCCTGTATGTAATGTTTCAAAGTAATTGTTTTTAGGGTTGTGGAATGGAGAGAGAGGGTAATTTGAAAATAGGTTTGATGCTTAAGGATTTTATAGGAAACTCTTTCAAATTTCATCCTTTCATAAACAAATATAACTAGGCCTTGGTAAAATCTATTTAACACTCTAAACTACAAATCACTAATATACCAGGTCACAACTTACGTTTACTGTATGCCAAACCAAAGGGAAACACTGTAGGAGAGAAGAAATAATTTTCAGCTTAATCACTGCATCTCAAGCAGGAGATGCCAAAATCACATTCATCCAAATTAGAACAAACTGTGAAATATTTTTAAGATATCCCTTTGAGTAATCTCTCTGTTAAGGATTAGGAACGTAAAATCAATGAGTGATATTTGGCCTGGAAACACTGTAAAATGGCTTTTAGCAATCCTAGGGAGGCAGGAAGAGTATCAAGGGCTCTTAATGATATTCTTGCATTGAAAAGGATGTTTATTAATTTGCCAAAATTATTTTACCCACTGTGCGCAGAAACTCTCTACTCATTATTTTTCCCATTCAAAGAAAAGTAAGATTTTAACCTACATGAAACATCTTTCAAACTAATTAAAAACAAAAGTGTACACCATTACCCTTGCATATTATGACATAAATGAGAGGTACAGAAAGGATGTTTTTAAAGTGATCTGAGATATCTGAGAATGAAATGATTAATAATTCTGTTCTGATAAACTAAAGAAAACTTTGAAGAGTAGGTGTCTTTTGAATTAAAACACATAATATGGGTAGGATTTCAAAAGGTGGACGAAGAAGTTTGTATGTGTTTGGGTTTTAGAGGAGTTGGCGATGGTATTGATTTTAGGGTATAGGTAATCATAAATCAATAGTAACTGGTATGCAAAGAGTTTGCTTCTAGATGTGAAAGCATAGGTCAGAACTATGGTAGGTTGCAAATGGTCACAAAATCTTTGCTGCTCTTCCTATGAAGAAATAGAGCTATTTCCACACCCCCTTTAATTTGGAATGGCTTGCTTTGACCATCTCAAATAGAATACAGAGAATATGATGCAGAAGTTCAGAGCTACACCTTCAGGGCCTTGAACACTCTTTCGTACTCTGCCACAATGTGAATAAATCTGAGCTAGACTATTGGAGGGGCTATATGGACAACTGAGTCACTGTAACTGAAACGTGTCAATGGACAAACATTCAATAAGGATGCTATAGATTATTCATCCCCTGCCAAATAACCAGGATTATCCAGGTAAGTAAGCCCAGGTGAGATCCGTGCCCAGCTGATCTCAGGACAAATGGCCAATTTACAGAACTGCAAGCAGATAATTTTTTTTAAAGCCACTATGCTTTCGAATGGTTTGTTGCCCAATAAAAGCAAACTGATATGGAGCCACTTTATTGAGAGCCTATATTATGGTCTATACAGTGTTTGAATTTTATTGTATGAAAAGTAGGGAGCCTTAAAAAAAGTAATGCAATTTTGTCCACTTCTCCCCAACCTGAGAGAGTTTATCCAAATGTTTTCTGTCTTGCTACACCTTTCATGGTCTTTTGACTAAAGAGAACAGACTTTTGTTGGGGCTTGTTTTGTCTGCACCTATTGGTGTTTCTGGGATGTGTAAGGCTCAAGTCTGGGATGTATGAGGCAAAAGGAAACCTCAGGGAACTTACCACCCACTATTCCTAGCTAGTCTTTCCTCTTCTTTCAGCCTTTTGTAGTCTCACTTTTTTTTTTTTAAATATAATGTAAAGGGATTTAATCACACTTACTAGGAAGAATAGGAAAAGGTAGTCTATCCATTTTTTCAGAATCAAAAATATCACACTTGACTTCTATTTTTTTTTCTCTCATCTTAGTTAGTACTAAATGTTTCCATTTAAACTAGCAATGGTAACACATCAGGTCGCAAGTTTAATAACTACTGTATACAAAAAAATATATAAAACACGTGGGGAAGAATAAATATTCAACTTCAGTGCCTGATTCCAGTCTTCTGATTTGTGGTGATTGTCAGATTTTATCTACTAGGCTTTTGGAAAGGGAGTTTTATATACCAATTTTAGCCCAACTCACCATTAAAGTTTGCTGTCTCCTTTTCTTCAAGGAAGAGTCCCCATTCTAGCTGCTTCCCTTGATCCCTTTTTAACCCAAATAGAGGCCAGCTAGGTTTTAGCTTCTGGGGAAAGCATGATGGTTTGGGAGAATCAGACCCACTGTAAGCTTCCTTCCAAAAGCAACAGCTGGTCATCTGTGTTTCTTGAATTTTCTGTTGACTTTTGAGACAAATGCCTGATGTATGATAAGTACTCAAAAGATGGTTGTTGAAGTGGGCTCCCTTCTATCCCATCCTTCTATCCCATGGTTCAGAACTTTTATTCTAATTTAGCAAGTACTGTTAGAATAGACAATTATCACTGGCCTCACTTATTTTACAGTGTAGAGATACGAAGAGATGACAGAGTTCCCAGTTACCAAATTATTTCCATTGCAATTCGATTTGAGCTATTTTATTGGGAAAGAAACAGAGCAAGGTGCAAGGTTTTCAGATTTATTCCTTGATTCCTTGCCTTTTGCAGCTGGACTTTGTGTCACAAGGGGAACCCTTGTACAAATTACATTTCCTAGGCTGCTTAGACAACTGGCTCCTACTTATATTTGGAAGAGGGAAAGTGCTGATGTAAAATCAGAATGTGGGGAAATGGAAAACTAGAGTAATGGTCTCTTCTGTGCTTCATGAAGCATCTTTGAAAGTGATTGTGACTCCTTAGAAGCTATAGTTCTTATAAGACAGCTTACCCCCCAGTATTACAAACTCCCCATTTGATAGAGCTAGTTCCTAGACTCCAGTAAGACAAACACCTTCCTTTTTTCTCTCCAGCTCCAGTAGTGATGGTGATGCGTTACTTCAATTACATCATTTAAATGTTTTCTATGGTATTATGCTCCTTTATGATCCCCATTATCCCTAAGATCACAGATAGTAAGTAGTGCAGGTGGGATTTGAACTGTGGAAACCCTACTGCCAAGCTCTATCCTCTCACCAGTGTGTTGCAGCTACATCAAGCCATTTTGGGACTGCCAACCTTCCCAAAATGAAATGCAGAACTTGAAAGTAGCTGTTTGCCTAAAACATGATAGATAATTCAAGGTAAATCATATATATTAGTTTCTTTGAATAGTCCACAGTAGGTGATATTTTATATAATGGTACAGTGAGAAATCTAACAATACAACCAAAAATGAATGCAGATTTTTTACACTTTGAGTTGATAATGCTCATCTTCTTCTATTGTGCTGAAAGAAATGTTACCACAAATGCTGCTCAACTTTTGACTAACCACAGAGGAGAACGAGTCCTTTAATTCTTGAAGATACTTTTACCCTCTCTCAGCCTTTCCTTTAGTGAAATTTCATGATATTATACATTTCTTTCTGTGAATATGGTGAGGCAAAATTGTGTGGCTTATGATAAGAAAGCTTCTTTCCACATGTACAACCAGGAAGAAATCATTTTTCAAAAAGCCTGGTCTTTTAGTTTGCCATTGCCATTTTTGTGCCTTGATCTGTAAGAGATAATTTACTAGCTGTTTTTGGAGAAGTGTTCAACCTGGTTAATAGGTAAAATAACATTTTAGTGTATTTTTACAAGAAGACTTTTTCTCTTGTGGGCTAAGTATTTATTAATCCATACCAATGCTATCTGGATCTGACTATATCTCCATTTTGAATTATGTTTTAAAGTTGTCAACATTAAGTCTGAACAAATCATTTTATAGCTTGGAGTTTTAAAGGAAAATTGAAAACAAGATGACAGTTGAATATTTTTAAAGAAAAGTCAATAGAAATCAAGAAATTCTAATACATTTTTCTTTTTTTAATAAATACATAAAGCTCTTTACCATTTCCCTATATTATTTTGATTAACATGATAATAGGATCTTTCAAAGTATCGTTATACCAATTTTCACAGCCTGATGTAAAAGACTCATTTCACAGTAATAGCCATGACTAGCATTAATAAATGAATGTTGATGCCATAAATAACAGTATAAGGCATATTTACACCATCTTAACATACATAAACACCATACACATACACAAAAAAGTCACAGATCCAGAACAAAGAAAATTCAGTCTCCTAGACAGCTTACATTTATAGGCTTTGCCTAAAGTATTTTTTTTTTTTTGGCTGTTTTTTTTTTAATTTTTTCTTTCCAAGCAACAAACATAGCTTCCCTATTTCTTGTGATTTATGTGTAACATTGTACTCATGCAAAAATAATACTTGTTTTATTGCATTAACATTTAGACAGCTTTAGATTTGGGTCCTATAACCATCGTCTAAAATTTTACTTGATGTTGCTTCATCCATATATCATTTTAGTTGGTATGATATGATGGTTTGTTTTTGATAAGTTACAAAGTGACAAACATGTCCAGTTGACCAGAGTTCAAAAAATCAAGATTCTAAGCTTCATCATGCACATTGTACTTTCATTCTTGTAAAATGGTTTGAATCAGATATTCCATTTTGATTTAACATTTATTTTTTTTTCTTTTTAATTATGTTTCTAAAAACAACAACAACAAAAGAATAAAAGAAAATACTGTTCCACATCCACTGTTCACAACAAGGAAGAGCAGCAAGAATCACACTGACCATTGTTAGGACACCAGTCAGGTGGTGACACTGTAGTAAACATTGAATGTCATCAAAATACTGTGGGAATGTGATAATTACTATAACCCATACTTCTGCAAGAGTTCAGATTGCCATTGGCGTTTGCGCTCTGGAAAATAATCTGGAATGTGGATTTTTTTAAAATCCTGAATACACTTTTTCATTTCTTCTTCCACACTTAGCTTCTCACAGACTTTCTTTTTGGACAGATTTGTTTCCCGGGACTTGCTGATGAGTGTCTGAAAGAGTTCACTGTTTCTGCGTTTGTCTGGTGGGGGCATCCATTGCACAGGTGCTTTTTTAGAGGGTCGATCCAATGTTAAGGTATTCGGTTGGTGAGCTGTTGCCTGCTGGGCACTGGACGGATTGTCCTGGGGAGTGCTTGCCTCTGAATGGCTGTCACAACTGGAAGTGGAGAGCTCATTACAGGAAGTCCCACTTTCACTTCCTTTATCAGTGACTTTGTCCTGTTTCCTATCTTCATGTTCTTGTTTAGGTGATACTATTTTCTGAGGTGGTCCTAAAAAGGAGGAAAAAAAAACAAAGAAAAAGAGTAGAACAGTTGAATAAGAAGTGTGAAGGTAAAATTAAATGAGCTCTATATTTTCTATTTTAAACCAAGAACATTTATTTTAATAAAAATGGTGCTTGTTGCACTAGTCTAGGTTTGTGGAATAAGACCTAGGGTCTTTAGTGTACATGGGAAGATGCAGCATGCTGATTAATTATTCAAAACAATAAAGTTTGAGAAATTTGTTTAATGAGAGTTTCTGTCTTAGAGACCATCAACAGCTTCATAGTGAAAAGAAGATTTTTGTTATTTTAATTACCAGCTCCTGGAATATATATAAAAAAATAATGTTTTGTTAGCCTTCCATCTGTTTTGTTAGACACTTAGTTCACTTTTGTTCTACCCACTGCACTAGGTGTCCTTTGTATATATATTCTGCCACTGTAAAAGCAAGAAAGTACCACTGCTATATTTTACAAAGCTGCAGTATTCTCCAGGCCCGGAGTCACAATCACATCATTTATGCTTCCAAAGGGGAGGCTGCTTTAAATCTTATTCTTAGTCTCTTCATCTTGTTTCATGTCTATTTCCTTGAGGAAAATTGTGGAAGTGCTATAAGATATATCGGGGTCTAATATTATGGTGTGAAAATATAGTTGAAATATGGTATTCTCTTAAAATATAAGATCTACCATTTGAGGTAAATTACTTAGGAAGACAATTTTCGGAAAGTGATAGTTTGCAAAGATAATTATTTCAGATACACAGTGTGTTTCCAAGAAAAGGCATATTTTATTCTCTCTGACTCCACTGTGGGATTAGGATCTCCATTTAACATTTATTAAACACTACCACACACCCAGAGCTGTTCTAAAACCTTCATTCAGTGGAGCCCAACAATTCAGAGATCTAAATTACTCAACTCTTATTTTATTTTCTTAGAGTCAAATTTTTGAACAAGTTGTATAAATCAGAATCAGGAAGAAGGCATCAGTCTTTTTAAACAATTGCCCAGGAGTTCTATTGTGCAGCCAGCCTTGAGAACAACTGGTCTAATTTAGAGGGTCTAACCTTGGATGCACACTGGAATCACCTACAAAGCTTCAGGTTATTATAACTTGGAACCAACCCCAGACCTCCTGATTTAATAGGGTGCTACCTGGCCATCAGGCCATTTAAGATTTTAATGTGCATCCAAGATTATGAACCACTGATCAGTCTAATATATGTGAAATGGGTTAATAGCCAACAAGGGTAGTTGATATTACTCGAAAGGATTAAGAGACAAAAAAACTTTTCTTAAAAGCAGCTCCTATGTGCAACATTCTGCTGGTTTCTATCACCATTTTTTTTTCTATTTAAAAATTAGAAGAAACACAAGTCAATGCCAAATATTGAGTTAAAGATTTTTAAAAGTTTTACAACTTTTTGGAATTATGGAAATATTCTCTCTTCATTACGGTGTGGATTATATGATTGTATACACTATGAAAATTGATAGAATTGTATACCTAAAATGGTTGAGCTTTTCTGTATGTAAATTATACCTTGACTAAGCTGACTCCCTCTCCTGAAAAACAAAAACAACAAAGAAACATACAGTATATATGCCTATATGTCTCTATCTCTATCTGTCTGTCTATCTATCTATCTATCATCTATCTATCTATCTATCTACCTACCTATGTATCATCTATCTATCTATCATCTATCTATCTATCTCAGGGAAAGTCCTTAGCAATATTTCGAACTTTCTTTGTCTGCAATATCATAAAACCAGGACAGATGTGAATGTTTATAATTGCCTAGTAAGGAATTACACTATTACATTTCAGAAGTATTTGCAACCAAGGATTTAAACATTTGTTGGGTTTTATTTGTTTTAACTCTCTCTCTGTCAGGGAGAGTCAGCTGAGACTTTGGGGTGAGGTGGAGAAAATGCACTGCTAACACTCTGTGTTGTACTTACCCAGATCCATTCGCTATTCTCCTCTGTCCATAGTGGCTGATGCGTATAGACTAAGTTCTTAAGCTCCCTAGCCTTGTGGCTTTCAGTTGGATTCAGTCAACAGCAAACACTAGCAAGATAACACCCTAACCCCACCCCACCCCCAGGAATGTGATGATCTGGTTATATCCCTGGACTAGAGGCTACAGCCCTATCAGGAAGCTCTCTCTGTCTCCCTCTCCCTTTTATTCTCCTTCCCTTTTCTACCACCCCTCTTGAGGCTCATAGTTTAAGGCCTACAGTTGTTGATGTGGTTTGACTGTGTCCCCACCCAAATATCACCTTGAATTGTAACTCCCACAATTCCCACTTGTCATGGGAGGGACCCAGTGGGAGGTAACTGAATCATGGGGTCAGGTCTTTCTTGTGCTGTTCTCACAATAGTGAATAAATCTCATGACACCTGATGGTTTTAGAAAGGAGTTCCCCTGCACAAGCTCTCTCTTTTGCCTGCTGCCATCCATGTAAGACATGACTTGCCCCTCCTTGCCTTCCACCATAATTGTGAGGTCTTCTCAGCCATATGGAACTTTAAGTCAATTAAACCTGTTTTTCTTCCCAGTCTCAGGTATGTCTTTATCAGCAGCATGAAAATGGACTAATACAGGTGTTAACCATTTAGGTACCATAACTAATCTTAGGGTACTTCCTACACTGTTGTAAACTGTCCTATATTAAATGTTCTTAAATGTTCCAGCTGAGTGTGCCTTCTCTGTCTTCCTGGGTTTCTGATAGATCCACTCTATCAGACCCACTCTGGCCACCAGCCATCTTCTCCATTGACTAGAGGGATGTTACTTGAAGGATCAGTTTTTAGTGGCACCAGATGTATGTGGTAATAAAATTTGAAAATAAATAGGTTTGGAGTCTTACTGACTTGGATTCAAATTCTGGCTCTGCAGAAAATACTAGCCTTGTGGCTTTGAACAAGATACTTAGCTCCTCTAAGCATTAATTTGCTCATCTATAATATGAGTAAAACTACTTTGCCCATAGGAGCATTTTAAGATTATATAAGATATCATGTAAAAGGATCTAGTATAAGGATTCTCAACAATGACAGCATATCAAAGTATATCAGTGGAATTTTTTGAATGTACATATGTCATATACATCCCTAGAGGTTTCTAGTTCAGTGTGAAGGACTGGTAATGTATATGTTTATATGAAGCTGGGAGTGGTGGAGGAGATGCAGCATCTCTTTAGTTACCTTTATGGCTGAATGTGAACCCAAGCAAGTATGAAATTCAACACCCTAATACAACATAGTATATAAATAATTGTAGGTTTTTTTACCCTTTCTGTCAATATTTTGCTATACTTTAAACAAAAGCCCCTATCAAAGGAATCTATGATTTTCATTCCCAATAATGACTAAAGGATTAAACTGCAAATATCTAAGCAAACCAACTTACATTAAGGATAAATAAGTGATGAAAAAATAATTTCCTGTTTATCGGCAGGGTAACAGAGCATTAGATAGAGTTATCCAGGCAGAAAAGCAATCACATCAAAGTGAAAGACAGTTCAGAAAGAAAGTACTAGATACTACCAAAGTAAATGCCTTATTCTATTTGTTTCTATTCACTGAGAGGAAGAAAAAAATGCTTAATGACAATAGAATGCAACATTTGTGTGATGAAAACTAATTGGTCTTGCAAGATAGAAGATTAAGGAAGCCCTCTTTGAAGAAGGGATCAATGAGTTCAGCTGAGAGCTCTGTATTCACTATACGCCAGACACAGGGCTAGGTTCTGGAGGAGACGCAAATATGGATAAGATGAGCTCTCTGCCTGATGAAGTTCACAGGCTTTCTTCAGCTCCAAGTGGGTGAGGACAAAAAGATGCAGAGACAAGATTTTACATGTGTGGCCAAGGATCCCTATAATTTTCTGGGAAGATGAACTAAGATGCACTCCATACCAAATGGGTCTAACTGAATTTCCTACACTAGCTTTTTTTTTCACTTTTTACTTTTCAATTATTTTTCAATTTTCTTTGCCACCTTTGAAAACGTCATCTATATCCCTCTCTTTTCTTCCCTCTTGTCTTTCCAATGACAAATAACATGGGTCAGGGCATGGTCAGAAATAAAGTCTATCAGAGAATAGTATTTTATAATTATTCAATGTTTGAAATGCTTGGGATATTTTAGAATATCTCTTTCTGTAGACTTCAAGAACTATGAAGAAAAGGGGAACCTGAATTTACTGTGATTTTAAGAGCTTTAAAAATAAAAAGAACTTAAAATAGTTATACACATTAATTAGAATTAACAAATATATATTAACATATTATATATATATACACATAGTGTATATATATATATTTTTCATGTTCTTTCATGTTTTGCTAATCCTATTTAATATGCTATCTTTAGGCAAGGTGGACTCTCAATCAGACCAAATAGATTCAGAGGTTTATATAAGGACTTAAAAGAGAATGCTTAGCTTTATTTTGTGTACAGCTTTGAAATAATAGAATAACATGACGGTTCTTTGCATAAATCATTAGGGATCACTAATAGTCTTTTTTGGCTTTATGCTATCAGTTTTAATTGCTATCCATTTAAGCATACTTTAAATTATTATTGATAACTTAGTAGATTTAAATTGGGACTAAGATACGATAACTTAAACTGATTTAGCTGCTTTTTATGACATGAAATTGAGAAAAATTAATTAATTTAGGTAAATAATGATTACTCTAGTTGCCCAGTTTTCTTGTGGATGCCTGTTAATTGCAGGCTTCCAGGGATAATTTAAAACTTTAATTTTATATTATTTTACTCATTGGCCCAAAGCCGCTTGACATGCTTTCAGCACCACATGAATGATAATTTAAATATCACAAACTAGTGAATATATGGGAAGAACATGATTATTAGAAATGTCTCTGTGTCTCTTCGACTAGTAATAGAATCAAATATATACCTGAAAGATCTTCCCAAAAGCATTTTGCCCTGTGAGTTAGGGCACCCAATAGACTTGGTTTAAAAATG